CATAAACCGAATCGAGAAAAAATCGACTTAATTGGTTTGGTTTGGTTCTAATATTTGAAAAACCGACTTACTTGGTTTGATTTCTTTTTAGGGAAAAACCGATCCAAACCGAACCATGAACACCCGTAGTGATGGCCGGTGGTAGAAGTGGTAGGTGATGGTAGTGAAAGCTGATGATTGTGCTATGGGTAAATATTTATCCGTACCGAATGTGTACATCAAACCAAATAATTTAAGATGAAAGTTACAATTGAAGTGTAGATGCATACAACCTAACTATGGTTAAGTCAAAAATACGTACGATAACTCTCATGTAAGCATATGCTTGATGTAAATATCGGATGCGACTTACGAGTAAATTTTTCATAATGAATAGAGTAGCGGTAAAAAGTCACATTTGCAAGAATCTTAATGAATTAGGCCTATTCAAACAAAATAAGTGGTTGATAATAGGTGAATTTGACTATAATCACGCACCGAATAACCACCTTCTTGTGAACTTTAATGTGGAAAAATGACAACAAAATGCTCTTATTGGTACTTTTCATGATTTGCAGGTGATATAGGTGTAAGGAAAGCTAAGGAGCAGTTTGGAGTCAACTATTGATGAAAAAAAAGCTAATTGTTGCATTTCCCAAGTGACCCATTCAAAACAGGCCAAATTGCCCGGATACAGGGTCTACCGCGGTTCCACCGCGACCGCGGTGAAACCGCGGTGGAAGGTAGTCTCTGAACAATTGAAGATCCGCGAGGGTATTTTACCGCGGTTCTACCGCGATCGCGGTAGAACCGCGGTGGACACAGAAACTTCGGGGACCAAAGTGTAAAACACGGGATTTTTAGACCTAAACCCTATTTTAAACACTAGACTTCGCCCAAGAGAGGCAGAGATTGATTTTTTAGGTTTCTTAGCAAGGAGAACAATTGTGAAAAAGTACTCTAAACATCTTTCTTCTTTTCTTTTGATTTTATGATGAATTCAAGTTTAGTTTATTCTCCCATAACTATGAGTAGCTAAATTTCTTGTCTAAGGCTTTGATGGAACCTATTGGGTGATGAACTTCTTGTTTATGTGAATACAAATTGCTAGTTTAATCTTTATTTGTTCAACTTCGTGTTCGTTGTAGTTAATTGACAGGATCCTCAATTAGCTGTGCCTATTTAGTGTGCATAACTTGGAAAAGAGTGCATATTTAGGGTTTTGTTGAACAACACCACTCCTAGATTATTAGAGGAATCTATAATTGCGGGTTTAAAGGCGGGATTAGGAAATAACGAAGCCTTGGGTGCAATCTAAAGTGAATTGTGCTAAATAAAGCAAGCTAGTGTATCTCGGAAGAGTGCAATAGTAGATTACTGTGATTACTCAGGAGAGATTTGCGGTAAGATTAGGGTTCATGATTGATAGAGGTGTGTGGGTGAATTTGTATGAGCATAAACAGAAGGGATTCCATCAATAGGGGAAATCATTGCCTTAGCTTTTTCTCATAATTGTTTACAATCCTTTTTATTAGTTATAGCATTGTAGTTACTTGAAAGTTAGTTAGTAAAGAACACTCAATTGAGAATTTAAATATTTGGGAAGCTGATTTTGAAGACTTGGTGGGTCTGAAGGTTGCAACTGATAGGTTAACTCTCTGTGGGATATCGACTCCGGACTTGTAAACCGGATTATATTTGCAGCGACCGCATTGTCCTTTTTATAAGGCATAGTTGGGCGTGATCAGTGGTCATAAAAGAAAGAAGAAAAATAAATACACTTAATAGACTAAGATTTGATTGATGCAAATCATATCTCCATGAGTACGAAACAATCGCGGCCTAAATCTATAAATTTGATTTTTGATCAATTTCAGAGAATATCTGGGATCCTCAGTTTGATTATATGGTGGGATATTTACAGAAATAGTCGATCAAATTTACTGCTTACTTTTTTTTTTTGCAAGAATATATAGATTAAACACATATTGTACATTCGCTAGTATTTTTATTAAGAAGTTGGATAGGCATAACAACAATTAATAGTAGAACGGAAATAATTTTTAATTTGATTTCGCGTAAAACAAACCATTTTAGCTTAATTCTTCTTGTTAGTTATATAATGGCTCAATCACATCTAGAACCTGCTCCTGAACTGGAGCGACTGATGGATCTGCAGGAACGGCTTCTATTTTACGCCTTAAATTAAATATGAGAACTTACCAATAAGGACAAAAAGAAAAAGGTTGTGTTCAATTTACTTCATCGTCTACTAGTAAAGAAATATACAGACTCGTAAAATGGTTGGTTGTCTAAAATGATACTATTAATTTAATGTGGGGACTGAATATCCTTGTTCAACCTCGTGGGTATTCATTTTACTTTATGAGAATTTCTTTGACCGAATGCCGAGTTTAAATAGAATTGAGAACTTTCGAGATTTGTAAAAGTTTTTCATTAAAAATAAAATGAAAAATTTAAAATTAAATTGTGTTTAAATTTAAAATTTCTCTCGAAATATGCTTTCAACTAAACCTGCTTATCTGACTCTGTGGACTGGCTTGGATCTTCTCATCAGATATGGACAACAGTGAAATTCAACCTAGGAAGCATGAAAGATATTACTAGTATTAAGTATATTGGATAAGGACAACGGATAATGGCGACACGTTCATTAATAATATAGCATTAGTTTATTTTAGTACAATGTATTTTACAAGTGAGGTCCGAAGAGGGTAATATTTACGCAGACCTTACCCTATTTTGTGAAAGCAGAGAAACTATTTGTGATAGACCCTCGGTTCAAGGAACCTATAATCACAACAGCGATAACAAAGAACTACGGAAAGAGAAGTACTCACAGCAACTAGAAAAATAATAAAACCGAAACAAGCGAAACAATATTTAATAAAAAAGATTTAAGATTTGAAAATACGAGAATAACACTAATACCATACATAAAAAAAAAAAAAGAAGGAAGATATAGGTTTAAAAGAGAAAACACTCAGCTATTCACTAACCTACTACCATCGAGTATTCTAATAAACTCACTTAGTTTGACTAATCGAATTCTCACATCATGTGACTTATCAAAGAAGAAGCGCTACTAAAAATGAAGAATCCCATTTATCTTACCACAAACTTATAATTAGTTAAATTTTAGAATACAACTTCATCAAATAGTTAAGGCCAGCACCATTATTTCTCATTTAGAAACTCGTGTTTTAGCCGTAGTATTACATTTTAATTACTGCATTTTACGTGTGTTTGAGCTTAAATGATAGTAAATTACACTTAGTACGTGTTGTATGTCTTGCAGGAAGTGATTCCGAGCTAAAAAGTTAATTTGGAGCTGAATCGATCAATTTGGAGCTATGAAGTCTGAGTAAAAGCCCAATAAGTTAAACCGGGATCGTGTTCGGAGGTCGTATACCAAGTTTGGATCTCAAAAAAGGATGAAACAATTTTACTCCGAGAAAATAACACTGCCGCGCCGCATGGGGCGCCGCAGGGCGCGATGCGGCAGTGTAAACGTGCCTGACAGGAAAAAATACACGCCCGCGGATAATCTCCACAAGAGCGTCGCGGGGTGCGACGCCGGGCGCAGGGTGCGTGTACAAAAGTTGCAGAGTCATTTCCTACTTCGGCTTGGAAAGGGTAGCTTCGTCCGGGATTGTTTCTACACGGTATAAATACACCGGAAACACATGATTTTGAGGAGGACATGACTTTGAGAGGTTTAAAACAAAAGTACGGAATACTCGGGAGCACAGATCTAATCAATTCTTCCATTCTCATTCTAGTATTCATTGATTTTATGTTTGAAAATATTATTTTTGATGATTGTATGAACATGAGTGGCTAAGAACCCTAATATTCTGGGGTCATGGGTGCTACATGAATGTAATATTTGAAGTTTAATTTGACGAGTTTGAGTTTATCATATTGGGTTGTTTATTTAATTCTTCTGAGTAGCTAACAGTGAAATACTATCTACGAATCTAGAGTTTAACTCGAAAGTGGGAATTCTAGATTGCATATAGAATTAAATATAGTAAGTTCTTGAACCTAGGCATCGGGGAATATATTCGCAATTAGGATAGACATATACCTAATTGTCTTGCTTGGTTGAAATACAGGAATTGTAAATGCATTCTTGTTAATCTTAATTCTATAGACATATAGGCATTAAGTTAGCTTGAATAGGCGAGTACGAACTCGAAAGATTCTTATAAGTAATATTAACACAGTCAATCAACAATCCAGATAAATCAATCGGTCATTTTAAGCCAAGAATGTAACATGATTGTTAGCTATCCTATGACCCTGAATATCCTCTCCTACTGATTGTTATTCGAAATTGCTTAAGTGCTGTGGTTGATTTATAGTAATGTCATTGCTTGATAGTTTTTTAGGTAGTAAATTAGTCAATTACATAATTGTGAAAAATCTCTTAAACCGATATGTTGTTTGAGTTTGAATCAGTCAAAAGTTAATGATAAGTCTTCGTGGGAACGATACTCTACTTACTACTCTATTACTTGACAACCACGTATACTTGCGTGAGTGTGTTTGGTCGCAATAAGTTTTTGGCCTCGTTGCCGGGGACTTAGAAATTAGCTACTTAAATGAGTTAAGCTTTTATTAGTTATTTATTCAAGTTTTAATTTTCAATTTGCTTTGTCCGTGTTAACGCAGGCTCTTCTCTTGAATACGGAGGAGTAGAAATGTAAACAACCTCCTTCCTCTTGATCCTGAAATTGAACGAACACTTCACAGAGTGAGAAGGGAAGTCGAAGATAGAGCTAGAATAGAAAGAGAGTAGAAATGATTGGAAGAATCACCCTAACTTCTCCTGGGGTAGAAATTAGCCGACTCAGAATCATTATAGGCCCCAAGGAAATTTTAATCAATCTCAGAAGCCACCCCAGCAAATAGAAGAGAGTAGGAATGATTTGTTGAAGAAGTTGCTGCTTGACAATCAATAACTCAGGACCAATTTTAGAAATCTTGAGAGACAAATGGGGCAACTAGCGTCAAATCAGAATATTAGGCATGCAGGTACTCTTCCCAGTGATACAGAGAAGAATCCTCAAGTTAATGTAGTTACACTCAGAAACGGGAGGGAAATAGAAGAAGTGCCAAAGAAGAGAAAGGATAAACCTACACGTGAGGGGGAGTTGATTCCTAAGGCAACACATGAGTCAAAGAAAGATGATGCAAGTTCAGAACCAGTGAATGCTGAAAGGCCACCACCACCATTCCCCCAAAGATGGCAGAAGAGAATGATGATCGCATGTTCAACAAATTTCTCTCTATGTTGAGCCAGGTTCAATTGAATATTCCATTAGTAGATGTGCTTCGCGAAATTCCAAAATATGCTAAGTACATAAAAGATATAGTGGCTCACAAGAGGAGATTGACTGAATTCGAGATAGTCGCACTTACTAAGGAGTGCACTTCAAGGGTCCAAAACAAGCTTCCTCAAAAGCTTAAGGATCCTGGCAGCTTCACCATCCCCGTGCGAATTGGTAATATCGATGTGGGTCGTGCTCTTTGTGATTTGGGGGCGAGCATAAATCTGATGCCCTTGTCCTTGTTCAAGCAATTGGGTCTGGGAGCTCCAAGACCGACCATTGTGATGTTGCAACTAGCTGATAGATCCATAGCCTACCCTGAAAGAGTGATTGAAGATGTGTTGCTGCAAATTGGGAAATTCATCTTCCCAGCGGACTTCATTATCTTAGATTATGAGGTTGATGAACAGGTTCTAATATATTGGGACGACCTCTCTTGGCTACAGGTGATGCGATTATTAAAGTGAGAGAGGGAAAAATGATTATGAGGGTGGACAACAAGGAAGCAGTTTTTAATGTCTACAAGGCGATCCAACTTCCCCGCCATTATGAGGAGCTCTCTATGATATCTATTGTGGAGGTGGATGAGCAACTTTTTGACACGGGTGTATATCTAGACGATTCTCTAGAGAATGTAATCATGTTGTTCGATAGCTTGGAGATTGATGATGCGGTTGAGGAGATGATGCATATCCTAAATGCATCATGTGCTTACATGCGGGGATTAAACCTCTTTGAGCCCCTAAATAGGCCAAGTGGTCCTCCTCCAAAGCCGTCAGTTGAAGAAGCTCCAAAATTGGAACTTAAACCCTTGCCCCCCTCCCCCCCCCCGCACCTTCAATATGCCTATTTAGGTGGTCCTGACACTTTACCAGTTATTATTTCTTCTGACTTGTCTAAATTGCAGGAAGAAAAGCTGTTGAGAGTGCTACGCGAGCATAAGCGAGCAATTGGGTGGACGATGTCTGACATTAGAGGCATTAGTCCAGCTTTCTGCATGCATAAGATCCTTATGGAGGACAGACACAAGCCAAGTGTAGAGCAACAACGCCGCCTAAATCCAATCATGAAAGAGGTGGTAAGAAAAAAAGTGATTAAGTGGCTTGATGCATGTATTATATTTCCAATCTCTGATAGCAAATGGGTAAGCCCCGTCCAATGTGTGCCTAAGAAAGGGGGGATGACTGTAGTGGTTAACAAAAATAATAAATAACACTGCCGCGCCGCATGGGGCACCATAGGGCGCGATGCCGCAGTGTAAAACGTGCTTGACAGGAAAAAATACACACCAGCAGATAATCTCCACAAGCGCGCCTCAGGGTATGACGCCGGGCGCGGCGCGGGTGTACAAAAATTGCAGAGTAATTTCCTACTTCATCTTGGAAAGGGTAGCTTCATCCGGGATTGTTTCTACACGGTATAAATATACCAAAAACACATGATTTTGAGGAGGATGTGACTTTGAGAGGAAAACAAAAGTACGAAACACTTGGGAGCACAAATCTGATCAATTCTTCCATGCTTATTCTAGTATTCATTGATTTTATGTTAGAAAACATTATTTTTGATGATTGTATGAACATGAATGGCTAAGAACCCTAATATTCTGGGGTCATGGGTGCTACACGAGTGTAATGTTTGAAGTTTAATTTGACGAGTTTGAGTTTATCATATTGGGTTGTTTATTTAATTCTACTGAGTAGCTAACAGTGAAATACTATCGACGAATCTAGAGTTTAACTTGAAAGTGGGAATTCTAGATTGCATGTAGAATTAAATACATTAAGTTCTTGAACCTAGGCATCGGGGAACGGATTCGCAATTAGGATAGACATATACCTAATTGTCTTGCTTGGTTGAAATACAGGAATTGTAAATGCATTCTTGTTAATCTTAATTCCATAGACATATAGGCATTAAGTTAGCTTGAATAGGCGAGTAAGAACTCGAAAGATTCTTATAAGTAATATTAACCTTGTCAATCAACAATACAGATAAATCAATTAGTCATTTTAAGCCAAGAACGCATCATGATTATTAGCTAGCCTGTGACCATGAAATATCCTCTCTTACTAATGCTTATCCGAAATTGCATACCTGATGCTTATCCGAAATTGCATAAGTACTGTGGTTCATTTCTAGTTATTTCATTGCTTGATAGTTTTTTAGGTAGTAAATTAGTCAATTACATATTTTGAGAAAAATCTCTTGAATCGATAAGTTGTTTGAGTTTGAATTAATCAAAAGTTAATCATAAGTATTCGAAGGAACGATACTCTACTCACTATTCTATTACTTGACGACCACGTATACTTACGTGAGTGTGTTTGGTCGCAACAGTACTATACGTAAAAAAAGAAGAGGAAAATATAGGTTTTGTTATAAATAGAATTTTATTTATGGTGAATGTCTATATTTAGAGAGATTCTAGGGTTTATTGCTTGGTGGCTAAGTCACCCTCTCCCTATAAATAGAGGGTTCTATTCCATTGTAAATCATCCAATATCAATAAGAATTCTCTCTCTCTACTTTTCTCTGCAATATTGTTCTTCTTCTTTTATTGATTCATAACACGTTATCAGCACGAGACTAACCAATTGAGTAGATGTTTTGGGATGGAGCATAATGATTGTCAATTGTTCCATGAACTTCCTTCATGATTAAATTCTGGATTTAAGGTAAGTATTTTACTTTATTTTTCTCCTTTAAATTCTTGACATTCTATAATTTGATTTTAAATACAAGCAAAGACAATAAATCTTGATTTTAACTCTAATGGAGTTTGAAAGAAATTATAACCACCCAAAGTGGTAAAATTTCTGTGTCTTGCCATGATCAAATTCAGGTATGATTGTGGACAAAGAATTGAAAACCCGTCCCATTGAATTTTCTCCATTCTCATTCCCTTAAGAGAATGTGATAGCAATATGTAATAAGTCTGAAAGAAGACAAAATTACCATAAAGGTATCAATGGATGTGGACGTGGTAATAGACAAAATTATAATCGTCATTATCGTGGTAATGAGAATAATAAGAATTCTCAAAATAAGTCTTCATCATGATGTGAATGTGACAACATCTGATTTATGAATACATATTCATTCTTGAAAGAATATGAACGTACTAGTGGTAGTGAATATACCACACACTCACCTCTAGAGGAGGTTTGAGATGATATAAGAAAATAATGTCATTATTATGCCATGAGGTCATTGGTCACGTACCTATTGCACGCCAAAATATTTTGGTAATGTGCATATTATAGAATAACATTAATGCAAGAAACATATCTTGCATATAATTTTGACCATAACCATAATGGTATAACTTTCTCTTTAAAGAGATATTCGCCATATGGATGTTGATGAATTTGTGGTAGTACATAATTAATTGAGAGCTCTAAAAGAGCCAATTATTACTATTTTGGAGGAATACAATTGATTATCATGTCAATTTATTGTGTCGTAGTCAGTCTCAAAGAAACTTATTGAGTTTCTAAAGTATTCCCGAAAGCGATTGGTTATATATTGAGACTATAAATAATGGAAATATTTAATATCTTCTAATGCTACAACTTGTAGCGGGGTAACATATATGTGAAAAGCTACCCGCTTTATTCTCCAGTTTGTACTACACAAATAAATAAAGTGGATGTTTATTGATATAAAAACTCATATCATAATAAACTTGGATTTTATTGATAATTGCACACGTCATGGTGTAAATCTAAAGTTTATCAATATTGATATTTATTCAGTTGGCATAATTGGTTTACTCATATCAATTTAAGTATAATGTGCAAAAATAAAAGAGAATTCACATGGGTAAATATTAAAGAACTAGAAAGTTCTTTACGAATTCTCTTATGTTGCATATTCTCATTAATTAATACACCAACTAAAATTGGGATTGAATCCCATGAATGCTGGAAATATCAAAGGTGAATATGGGCCCATTCACCTGCCATGTATACCACATAAGATGCATCTATGAGATGGTTACAAGTGCGATTATTAATAACCCGCAACCTGGCCGATGTTTGCGGTGACTTGCTCAATAATTTAATTGCGAACATAATTTCCACATTTTCTATTCAAGAAGTTCATCTTGATAAGTTGATTTACATCACAGTTGGTTTAGCAAAATGATTTATTAAGTGCCTCTACTTAATAGCTAAACAATTGCTTATGAGAATAAAGTTATCTATATCAGTTTGATATACGTTATTATGACGACCCGGCCGGTCGTCTCATGAGTTACCTCTCCGTTTTCCCCAATTCTGCTTCTATTTGCTTAAATTATCGGTTTTATATGTGATCGGGTTGGTTCGGGTTCGAAAGGTTGTGAGAAGGTTTGAGGCACTTAGTCTTTTTTAAGAAGGCTTAAGTTGGAAAAGTCAACAGGATATTAACTTATGTGTTAGAGGGCTCGGATGTGAGTTCCGATGGTTCAGATAGCTCCTGGAGATGATTTGGGACTTAGGAGTGTGATCAGAATGTATTTTGGAGGTCCGAAGTAGAATTAGGCTTGAATTGGCGAAATTGAGTTTCCGACGTCTTTCGATTGATAGGTGAGATTTTTATATAGGGGTCGTAATGGGATTCCGAAAGTTGCAGTAGCTTCGTTATGTCATTTGGGATGTGTGTGCAAAATTTCAGGTCATTCGGACGTGGTTTGGTAAACTTTTTGATCAAAAGCGGAATGCGGAAGAATTTAGAACTTTAGGCTTGAATTCGATGAGTTTTGGTGATTTTGATGTTGTTCGAGGTGTTTTGAAGATTGGTACAAGTTTGAATAAGGTTATGGGATATGTCTGTGCTTTTGGTTGAGGTCCCAGGGGCGTCGGGGTGATTTCGGATGGTTGACGGGGAGTTTGAGGAATTGTTGCAGCTGCAGATGGTGCTACTTCTGGTATTTCTACACCTGCGGATTTGGGGACCGCAGGTGTGGCGCCCCATATGCGAGAGAGGAGCCGCAGAAGCGGAAGGGAGCTAGGAAGACAAAAAATCGCAGATGCGATTGGAGGAACCGCACCTGCGATGGCGCATGTGCGGATATGGAACCGCAGATGCAGGAAATGCGGATTTAAGTGGGGACCGCAGATGCGACAGTCTTGACTGCAGAAGCGGTACCGCAGATGCGTTGAAATGGCCGCAGATGCGGAAATGTCTGGACAGAAAATATAAGTTAGTTCCTTTGCGATTTTCAGAAGGTTTTCTCACTTTTAAACACGAATTTTGGAGCATTCGGGTGATTTTGAAGAGAGAAATCAAGGAGACATCATTGAGATAAGGTTTTGGATTATGAAAACTCGTTTTTACGGTGTTAATGCATGGATTAGAGCTGTAATTAAAGGTAAAGTTTGAGAAACTAGGGCATAGAAACCTCGGCCATTGATTGAGAATTTGGAAGACCATTTGTGGTCAGATTTTAGAACTTTTTATATGTATGAACTCGTGGGGAGATAAGGAATCCAATGATGTTAATTTTATCGAATTCCGAGACGTGAGCCCGGGGGTCGGGTTTTGGTAATTTCGGATTTTGTGATGTTTTTCGATCATTTTCGAGTGGGCTTCGTCCCTTTAGCATAAATTAATGGTTACATTCTGATTTTGGTAGATTTGGAGCATCCGGAGATCGATTCGAAGGGCAAAGGCATTGCGAGCTAGATTTCGGGCCGGATTGAGGTGAGTAATGATTTTAAATGCTGTCCTGAGGGTATGAAACCCCGGATTACACACTGTTCGTCTGTGTTGAGGTGATGCACACGCAAGATGACGAGCGTGGGGTCGTGCACCGTTGAGGGTTGTGACTTAGTCCATCCCGAATGAGTGTTTTACTGCGTATTTGATAGTTAATTGTTTGATATTGTTATATTGTGGGCTAAATGCCATATTTGGGCTTCGTGCCAACTGTTTGAACTCTTAGGGGATTTTTACTGATATTTTCCTCACTATTTGATTTCATACTTGTGCTCAGTCATGCCATATTGTACTGTTTTCAAAAACTCAACTAAGTTATTCTGTTTTAAACACCTTAGATGATATTTTAAAAAGATGTTTTGAGCTGAGCTTCATATTTTACTGTTGCCCGAGGGGCCTATGAGATTCTGACTGAGTAAGGCCGAGGGCCTGTATTGTGAGGATACTTTTTGGTCGGGCTGCATGCCGCAACAGTGATATACTGATTATGATAATGAGGCCGAGGGCCTGAGATTGTACGCCACGAGGTGGCTTGTGATTGATATGAGGCCGAGAGCATGTTTATGATGCCACGAGATGGCTTGATATTTCGCTTGGGCCGTAAGGGGGCCCTCCCCGAGTTTGTACACCCCCAGTGAGCGCGGGTACCCATTGTGATATGAGATACAGCACGAGGGGCTGGTATTGTTCTGTGACATTGCCCAAGGGGCTGATTCTATTGTTACTGTGCCCGAGGGGCAGCTCTTATGTGTTTACCTTATTAGTTGTTTTTCCTGTATATTGTTTGACTGTTTAAAAGGTGTTTATGAGATTTCACTGCTTAATTATATTTACTGATTTTTGTTATGCCTCTTATAGCTAAATGTTGTGTTTAATGTGATTTTATATCGCTCAGTCTTCATTTATCTTTATTACTCACTGAGTTGGAGTACTCACTTTACTCCCTGCACCCCTGTGTGCAGATTCGGGCGCTACAGGTCCTGCTACTGAGGGTTGATAGTTCCAGCGGATCTTCAGAGAGTTACTAGGTAGCTGCTTGGCGATTCGCAGCCCGGTGCATTCTCCCTCTATCTTATTTCCTTTGATTCAGTTATGTAGTAGTGGAGTAGACTTTCAGACTTGTAGTATTGTTCTAGATGCTCATAACTGGTGACACCCCGATGTCGGGTTGTGTTGGTTTTTATTTCCGCAAATTATACCGTTGAATGCTTATTTTGGGATTTTATTTCTGATTAAATACTTAGTAGTTATTATTTTAATTACTTTAAAGTGAATTAGAAGTGTGTCGGCTGGCCTTGTCTTCACGAGAGGCGCCATCATGACCGAGTTGGGTTTAGGGTCATGACAAGTTCGTACCAGAGTCTAGGTTACATAGGTCTCACGAGTCATGAGCAGGTTTAGTAGAGTCTCGCGGATCAGTACGGAGACGTTTGTATTTATCCTTGAGAGGCTGCAGAACCTTTAGGAAAATTCCATATTCTTGAAATTCTTGTTGTGCGAATTTGTTGATCCGATAACTAAACTTCTCTTATTCTACTCTCTCACAGATGGTGAGGACACGCGCTGCCGGTCAGGATGGACAACCACCAGTACCACCAACTGGAGCCACTAGAGGCCGAAGACATGGTTGAGGCCGTGGTAGGGGCAGAGGTGCAGCCCCCACAGCAGCTGGGGCAGCACCTGCTGATTCACCAGCCGTCCCAGTTCAGGAGCAGGTCCCAATTGTGGACACTCCAGAAGCACCGGCTCAGGCACCAGCTGTGCCCATTGTGATTCCGGGTCTTCAGGAGACTTTGGCCCAAACTTTGACAGTATGTACGAGTCTTGCTCAGGCGGTCGTGGTCTCTACTGCCGCAGCCACTTCTCAGGCAGGGGAGGCTCTCAGACTCCCGCCGCCCGCATACCCGATTCGGTGGTTCAGGGAGTGCAGACACCGGAGGCACCACTAGCCCAGCCGGCGGCAACTGCTCATGGTTACGTAGCTCCAGTTATGCCAGAGGATGAGCAGCGCAGATTGGAGAGGTTTGGCAGACTCCAGCCTCCTACTTTCAATGGTGCTGAGGGCGAGGATGCCCAGGGCTTCTTAGACAGATGTTAGAGGATTCTTCGCACCGCGGGTATTCTGGAGACCAGCGGGGTTACATTCACGACCTTTCAGTTTACCGGAGCTGCCTTCACTTGGTGGGAGGCATATGAGAGGCGTAGGCTTGTTGGTTCGGCACCTCTGACTTGGCAGCAGTTCTCCGCTCTATTTTTGGAAAAGTATGTTCCACAGTCCCGTAGGGAGGAGCTGCGTAGGCAGTTCGAGTAGTTGAGAACGGGAGATATGACGGTCACTTAGTACGAGATGAGGTTCTCAGAGTTAGCTCGACATGCTATTTGGCTGGTCGCTACAGAGAGAGAGAGGATCAGGAGGTTTGTTGATGGCCTCACCTACCAGCTTCGAGTTCTCATGACTAGGGAGAGAGTGTTAGGTGCTACGTTTGAGGAGGTTGTGGATAATGCTCGTGAGATTGAGTCAGTTCGTCGCCAGGAGCGTGAGGAGAGGGAGGCCAAGAGGCCTCGTGGTCATGGTAGTTATGGGGGTGCTCCTTCGAGGGGCCAGTTTCAACACGGCATAGGCTGTCAGTTCAGGCATGCTCAGTCAGCTCGCCCAGGCTATCGTAGGGCATCATCAGGCCATGGTTCTCACGGTTCTCAGCAGGGTCATTCTTCACTCAGTGCACTTCCCGCCCAGGGTTCGTCCCGTGCTCCATCAGTCCAGGATTCTTCTACGCCAGGTACGTCTGCTAGTCATTCCGGTGCTAGGGGTTCCCATCAGTCCTCGTCTCCAGCACCCGGGAGTTGCTATGAGTGTGGAGAGATGGGTCACATGTGGAGGCAGTATCCTCATCGTCTTGGGGGTTCATCTCAGCAGAGGGGTCAATCATCAGCCTCAGCCCCAGCCACTTCACCACCCACCCAGCCAGCTAGGGGTGGAGGATAGTCATCTAGGGGTCGCCCCAGAGGGGAAGGCCGATTCGGTGGTGGTCATGCCCACTTCTATGCACTTCCAGCTAGGCCTGATGCGATTGCTTCAGATGCGGTGATTACAGGTATTATCTCAGTCTGCCGCAGGGATGCTTCTGTGTTATTTGACCCTGGTTCTACTTTCTCTTATGTGTCGTCTTATTTTGCCCATTATCTGGATATGCCCTGCGAGTCCCTTGTTTCTTCTGTTCATGTCTCTACGCCGGTGGGCGATACTGTTATGGTGGACCGTGTGTACCGGTCGTGTGTTGTGTCTATTGAGGGTCTAGAGACCCGAGTGGATCTGTTATTGTTATGTATGGTGGACTTCAATGTTATTTTGGGCATGGACTGGTTATCTCCGTGTCGGGCTATTCTGGACTGTCATGCCAAGACAGTGACTTTGGCTATGCCTGGTGTGCCACGGATTGAGTGGCGAGGTTCGACCGATTATGTCCCCAGCAGGGTGATATCTTTCTTAAAGGCCCAGCGTATGGTTGGGAAAGGTTGTCTGTCATATCTACCCTTTTTGAGGGATGTCGGTGCAGAGACTCCCAGTATCGATTCTGTTCCAATTGTGAGGGATTTTCCCGATGTGTTTCCTGCAGACCTGCCGGGCATGCCACCGGACAGGGATATAGATTTTGGTATTGACCTGGTGCCGGGCACTCAGCCCATTTCTGTTCCACCATATCATATGGCACCAGCGGAGTTGAAGAAGTTAAAGGAGCAGCTTCAGGAACTCCTGGATAAGGGGTTCATTCGTCCTAGTATGTCACCGTGGGGTGCGCCGGTTCTCTTTGTGAAGAAGAAGCACAGCATGATGAGAATGTGCATTGATTACAGGCAATTGAACAAGGTAACAATTAAAAACAAGTATCCCTTGCCTCGTATCGATTTGTTTGACCAGCTTCAGGGAGCGAGAGTGTTCTCCAAGATTGATCTCTGCTCAGGTTATCACCAGTTGAAAATTAGGGACTCAGATATTCTTAAGACAGCTTTCAGGACCCGATATGGTCATTACGAGTTCTTGGTGATGTCTTTCAGGCTGACCAATGCCCCAGCAGCGTTCATGCATTTGATGAACAGTGTGTTCCGGCCATATCTCGACTCATTTGCCATAGTCTTCATTGATGATATTCTGGTGTACTCGCGTAGTCAGGAGGAGCACACGGAGCATTTGAGAGTAGTGTTGCAGAGATTGAGGGAGGAGAAGCTTTATGCAAAGTTCTCCAAATGTGAGTTTTGGCTCAGTTCAGTGGCTTTCTTGAGGCACGTGTTGTCCAGCGAGGGTATTCAGGTGGACCCGAAGAAGATAGAGGCGGTTCAGAGTTGGCCCAGACCGTCCTCAGCTATAGAGATTCGTAGCTTTCTTAGTTTGGCGGGTTATTATAGCCGGTTTGTCCAGGGATTTTCGTCTATTGCATCGCCCTTGACCAAGTTGACTCAGAAGGGTGTTTCATTTCAGTGGTCTGATGAGTGTGAGGAGAGCTTTCAGAAGCTCAAGACTGCCTTGACCACAGCTCCAGTGTTAGTATTGCCATCAGCTTCAGGTTCTTATACCGTGTATTGTGATGCTTCGAGAGTTGGTATTGGGTGTGTTCTGATGCAGGAGGGTAGAGTTATTGCTTATGCTTCTCGTCAGTTGAAGCCTCATGAGAAGAACTGCCCTGCTCATAATTTGGAGTTGGCTGCCATTGTTCACGCGTTGAAGATTTGGAGGCATTATTTGTATGGTGTGTCTTGTGAGGTGTATATTGATCATCGTAGCCTCCAGCACTTGTTCAAGTAGAAGGATCTCAATCTGAGGCAGTGGAGGTGGTTGGAGTTGCTTAAGGATTATGACATTACTATCTTATATCACCCGGGGAAGGCCAATGTGGTGGCCGATGCTTTGAGCCAAAAGGCGGTGAGTATGGGGAGTTTGGCATATATTCCAGTTGGGGAGAGACCTCTTGCAGTTGATGTTCAGGCTTTGGCCAATCGGTTCATGAGGTTGGATATTTTGGAGCCCAGCAGGGTATTGGCTTGTGTGATTTCTTGGTCTTCCTTATATGAGCGCATCAGAGAGCGCCAGTATGATGATCCCCATTTGCTTGTCCTTAAGGACAGAGTTCAGCACGATGATGCCAGAGATGTGACTATCGGTGATGATGGGGTGTTGAGGATGCAGGGCCGGATTTGTGTGCCCAATGTGGATGGGCTTCGGGAGTTAATTCTGGAGGAGGCCCATAGCTCGCGGTATTCCATTCATCCGGGTGTCGTGAAGATGTATCAGGATTTGAGACAACATTACTGGTGGAGGAGAATAAAGAAAGACATTGTGGGATTTGTAGCTTGGTGTCTCAATTGTCAACAGGTGAAATATGAGCATTAGAGACCGGGTGGCTTGCTCCAGCGGATGGATATTCCAGAGTGGAAGTGGGGGAGGATCACCATGGATTTTGTAGTTGGGATCCCACGGACTTTGAAGAAGTTCGATGCTATTTGGGTAATTGTAGATCGGCTAACCAAGTCCGCGCACTTCATCCCTATCTGTACTACTTACTCTTCAGAGCGGTTAGCAGAGATATATATCCGGGAGATTGTTCGGTTGCATGGTGTCCCAGTTTCCATCATTTCAGATAGGGGCACTCAGTTGACTTCACAGTTTTGGAGGTCTGTACAGCGAGAGTTGGGTACTCAGGTTGAGTTGAGCACAGCTTTCCACCCTCAGACGGACGGGCAGTCCGAGCGCACTATTCAGATATTGGAGGATATGTTACGTGCTTGTGTTATTGATTTTGGAGGGTCATGGGATCAGTTTCTACCGCTCGCAGAGTTTGCTTATAATAACAGCTACCAGTCGAGTATTCAGATGGCTCCATATGAGGCTTTGTATGGGAGGCGGTGTAGATCTCCAGTTGGTTAGTTTGAGCCGGGCGAGGTCAGGCTATTGGGTACAGATTTGGTACAGGATGCTTTAGACAAGGTGAAGGTGATTCAGGAGAGGCTTCGTACAGCGCAGTCGAGGCAAAAGAGCTATGCAGACAGGAAGGTTCGTGATGTGTCCTATATGGTTGGTGAGAAGGTTCTACTGAAGGTTTCACCCATGAAGGGTGTTATGAGATTCGGAAAGAAGGGTGAATTTAGTCCGCGGTTCATTGGGCCTTTTGAGGTGCTTCGTAGGATTGGGGAGGTGGCTTATGAACTTGCTTTGCCACCCAGCTTGTCGAGTGTGCACCCGGTGTTTCATGTTTCCATGCTCCGGAAGTATATTGGGGATCCGTCTCATGTTCTAGATTTCAGTACGGTTCATTTGGAAGGTGATCTGACTTATGATGTGGAGCCAGCAACTATTTTGGAGTGTCAGGTTCGGAAGTTGAGATCAAAAGATATAGCTTCAGTGAAAGTGCAGTGGAGAGGTCGGCCCGTGGAGGAGGCTACCTGGGAGACCGAGCGAGAGATGAGGAGCAGATATCCTCACCTATTTGAGGCTTCAGGTATGTTTCTTAACTCGTTCGAGGACGAACATTTGTTTAAGAGGGGGAGGATCTGACGACCCGGCCGGTCGTCTCATGAGTTACCACTTCGTTTTCCCCAATTCTTCTTCTATTTGCTTTAATTATCGGTTTCATATGTGATCGGGTTGGTTGTTTCGGGTTCGGAAAGGTTGTGAGAAGGTTTGAGGCACTTAGTCTCTTTTAAGAAGGCTTAAGTTGGAAAAGCCAACCGGATATTAACTTATGTGTTAGAGGGCTCGGATGTGAGTTCCGATGGTTCAGATAGCTTCGGGAGATGATTTGGCACTTAGGAGTGTGATCAGAATGTATTTTGGAGGTCCGGAGTAGAATTAGGCTTGAATTGGCGAAATTGAGTTTCCGACGTCTTTCGATTGATAGGTGAGATTTTGATATAGGGGTCGGAATGGGATTCCGAAAGTTGCATTAGCTTCGTTATGTCATTTGGGATGTGTGTGCAAAATTTCAGGTCATTCGGACGTGGTTTGGTATACTTTTTGATCAAAAGCGGAATGCAAGAAGAATTTAGAACTTTAGGCTTGAATTCGATGAGTTTTGGTGATTTTGATGTTGTTCGAGGTGTTTTGAAGATTGGTACAAGTTTGAATAAGGTTATGGGATATGTCTGTGCTTTTGGTTGAGGTCCCGGGGGCCTCGGGGTGATTTCGGATGGTTGACGGGGAGTTTGAGGAATTGTTGCAACTGCAGATGGTGCTGCTTCTGGTATTTCTGCACCTGCGGATTTGGGGACCGCAGGTGTGGCGCCCCATATGCAAGAGAGGAGCCGCAGAAGCGGAAGGGAGCTAGGAAGACAAAAAACCGCAGATGCGATTGGAGGAACCGCACCTGCGATGGCGCATGTGCGGATATGGAACCGCAGATGCAGGAAATGCGGATTAAAGTGGGGACCGCAGATGCGACGGTCTTGACTGCAGAAGCGGTACTGCAGATGCGTTGAAATGGCCGCAAATGCGGAAATGTCTGGACAGAAAATATAAGTTAGCTCCTTCGCAATTTTCAGAAGGTTTTCTCACTTTTAAACACGAATTTTGGAGCTTTCGGGTGATTTTGAAGAGAGAAATCAAGGAGACATCATTGAGATAAGGTTTTGGATTATGAAAACTCGTTTTTATGGTGTTAATGCATGGATTAGAGCTGTAATTAAAGGTAAAGTTTGAGAAACTAGGGCATAGAAACCTAGGACGTTGATTGAGGATTTGGAAGACCATTTGTGGTCGGATTTTAGAACTTTTTATATGTATGAACTCGTGGGGAGATAAGGAATCTAATAATGTTAATTTTATCGAATTCTGAGACATGGGCCCGGGGGTTGGGTTTTGGTAATTTCGAATTTTGTGATGTTTTTCGATCATTTTCGAGTGGGCTAAATGCCATATTTGGGCTTCGTGCCAACTGTTTGAACCCTTAGGGGATTTTTACTGATATTTTCCTCACTATTTGATTTCATACTTGTGCTCAATCATGCCATATTGTACTGTTTTCAAAAACTCAGCTACGTTATTCTGTTTTAAACACCTTAAATGATATTTCAAAAAGATGTTTTGATCTGAGCTTCATATTTTACTGTTGCCCGAGGGGCCTATGAGATTCTGACTGAGTAAGGCCGAGGGCCTGTATTGTGAGGATACTTTTGGGTCGGGCTTCACGCCGCAGCAGTGATATACTAATTATGATAATGAGGCCAAGGGCCTGAGATTGTACGCCACGAGGTGGCTTGTGATTGATATGAGGCCGAGAGCCTGTTTATGATGCCATGAGATGGCTTGATATTGCGCTTGGGCCGTAAGGGGCCCCTCCCCGAGTCTGTACACCCCCAGTGAGCGCGGGTACCCATTGTGATATGAGATATAGCACGAGGGGCTGGTATTGTTCTGTGACATTGCCTGGGGGGTTGATTCTATTGTTACTGTGCCCGAGGGGCAGCTCTTATGTGTTTACCTTTTAGTTGTTTTTCCTGTTTATTGTTTGACTGTTTAAAAGGTGTTTATGAGATTTCACTACTTAAGTATATTTACTGATTTTTGTTATGCCTCTTATAGCTAAATATTGTGTTTAACGTAATTTTATATCGCTCAGTCTTCATTTATCTTTATTACTCACTGAGTTGGAGTACTCACTTTACTCCCTGCACCTCTCTGTGCAGATTCGGGCACTACAGGTCCTGCTACTGAGGGTTGATAGTTCCAGCGGATCTTCGGAGATTTACTAGGTAGCTGCTTGGCGATGCGCAGCCCAGTGCATTCTCCCTCTATCTTATTTTCTTTGATTCAGTTATGTAGTAGTGGAGTAGACTTTCAGACTTGTAGTATTGTTCTAGATGCTCATGACTGGTGACACCCCGATGTCGGGATGTGTTGGTTTTTATTTCCGCAAATTATACCGTTAAATGCTTATTTTGGGATTTTATTTCTGATTAAAGACTTAGTAGTTATTATTTTAATTGCTTTAAAGTGAATTGGAAGTGTGTCGGCTGGCCTTGTCTTCACGAGAGGCGCCATCACGATCGGGTTGGGTTTAGGGTCGTGACAGTTATATACCAAAGTATATTATTTTCTCCCCTCACAAGTGGTTCAGGGTCAGGAACCAAATAATTTCATCTTATTATTATTGATGTGCGGTGTATATTTTGATTAACACCATAACGTACAAAGGTAGATTCTCAAAGTTGAGGAAACAAGTTAGTTTTTCTAACATGAGGGGGAGACATGATAAATAGTTG